TAGAGGGTAAAAAAGAGAGGTGGCTATTGGATTCCATAAGTTTTTCTTTCTTTCCTCCATACACAGATTAGCTGGAAGTCTTCCCTTTGCCTTGCAAATGCAACCACAGCTCTGAGAGTCAGGAAGAGAGGAATTTAATTTGCTATGCCATCTTAATCAGGGACTTAAGTGCAGCAAAATCTGACATTTTTTACCCAGCCAGTGTTATGTGAAGCAGTGAGCAGGGGGCCCAGGTTCGTGATGCTTGCAGGCAGTTGTGCAGCAGCAGCAGTGCAGGGGTGACAGTGTTGCCATGGAGGCTGCAGAGATAAAGCTGCAGCTGATGTGAAAGGCGTGTGACAAAGCTGCCCCACAGCTGAGATACCCAAAACTGAAAGATCTGTCAGAAAGTTGCTCAGCACCTGGCTGATACCCACGGGTCCATTCTTGTTTTTATTGAGGGACAGGGGTGGGTTCTCCCCGCTGAATTCCAGGCCCTGGAAGGAAATGCATGGATTTAAAGCTCCCTGTGTGTGTGAGTGCAGTCAGGCATCCCTGAGCTGCAGGGGGAAGGAGGAGGGCAGGACCTCCTGCAGGTCCCAGGGCTGCAATGAGCCCCCAACACCTGCAAGAGCTTCCTGCGCCAGCAGAAATGCACTTTGCTCTTGTGGAGCAATTTCCAGCCATGCTGCTGAATTCATGGTGTGCCAAACACACTCTGCAGCCAGCCAAGAGACTGCAACCAAGAGAGGCATTTTTGCCATTGGTGCAGTGCCATTTCCAGCCTTTCTGGGAGTGCTGTGCTCCTTTGGCCACGGCCAGCTCCGTTTGCAGGGCTCCATTTCCCACCTGCAGCTCCTGCAGGCTCTTTGTTAAGCACAAGGCATTACAATAATCCAATGCAGAACTGACAAAAATTACTGTCCCTCTGCTAAGGCATATCCTGAAAACTCATTCCCAAAGAAAGGGTCACAGCCTTCAGTGGGGCTGTAAGCTTAACAGTACCGTAATTATTTATGCTAATAAAGTGAAGCTGATGGAAGTGGGACTTAGTGCCAGGAACAAGCTGAGGAGATTTTCCTGGGTCTCACTGAACTGTTGTGAGCAGGAGCACTTGTTGTCCAAATCCTTTCCTTTCTCCAACCCTGTGTAAGAACTTAGTGAGGCTTTTTAGGAAGGCAGGAAAATTAATATTTGCAAACATATTCTATTTACCTTTGTCTCTGAGCATTAAATTGTAATTCAGATTAATATTTTCTTCATTTCCTATGATGGGTATTATTGAAAAAAAAAAAAAAGAAAAATCTGTAGGCTCCTAATTGGTTTCCAATGATTCATTCAGCAGCACATTTATAAATAGGAAAAAAGGGGACGGGGAGAAGTCAGCAAGAGAAAGGAAAACCTTCAGACATACAGCTGCCATTTTAACCAGGGGCCAGAACATTTCTGTGCTACTCAACTGATACTATTTTGTTGGTGAAGTAAATTTTTCATCCTGCTTCCTACCTTCTAGTGCTGGAATCCTTAGTACATTTTCAAGTTAAACAATGTTGTTCCCTCTTGAATTCTGAGCAGTGGCTACAGAAACATTATTTGCAGGCATGCAATTGGGATTTGTTCTCTCTTTTACTTCTCTGTTCAACCTCCATGGCACAGAGCACAAGGACAGTGGATGGAATTTACTATTTCAACTTTTAGAGACTCGTATTTTCAGTAGTATTGGTGTTCAATTCCTTTGTGCAAAGAGGGAATCAAGGTGTCCATCACAATGCCAGGGGTCTTGTGGTAAATTATGAGTTAAAGTCATTGGTAAATTATGAGTTAAACCTCCTGGAATGAACAGGGAACACTTTTGATTGCAACTGCAGATTCATTCAGGTCTCTGGGATGTACTTGAAATTGAACCTGTATGGTCTTTCAATAAAATTAAGAGCACTGAAGTAAATTTCAGCATGACATAAGTATTAACTCGCTTTTTTTAGGCTACATCTTACATCTTCTGACATAGGCTGCATTCTTAATCACTGTCAACTCACTATATTTTCCTTCTCAGTGAGGAGTGGTGATGTTATGCAATGTTACTATGTAGATCATGCTCTGGTTTTTCTACTCCTATTTTGAGAAAATGCTTCTGAGTAAAACTTCATTTTTGGTGATGCCAAGTCTTCCCCAGCAGATAACATTTCATCTATATTTATGTGACATGATTTTATGCTTCGTGGTTTTGGCAGGTGGAGGAATGCTATTTTTCACTTTTTTTCATATGGTGAAGAATGTAGAGAGCCTAATTTAGCACAGCAAGCACAGAGGGTTTGATTTGTTTTCCTAACATGTGTGTCACATCTAAAAGGCAATGTCCTTGCACTGTGCCTGTTAATAACTGTCTGTTCCAAATGGATTTGTGCCAACACAGAATCCACCACCACAATTAGCAGTAGTGGGAACTTCAGCTGGCAGCAGCAGAGAAAGCAGTAAAGATTAAATGACTGTGTGAACTGTCTCTCCAAATTAAAACTGATGTGCATTGGCAAAAAATAAGAAAACTCACGTGTTACCCCTTATACTCTGTTCTACTTAATAATTAGAGAAAATGTTGCTGTCTGGGACTCAGTATTTTTGATGTGACAGATTCACCCCATTAATGACAAGAATCTGAGTAACCACACCAGGAAAACATCTCAAATTGCAAAAACTTATAGATGACTTTCAAATGTTTGAGGATACAGAAAACCTTTTGAAGAAAGTTGATTTTTAGAGACATTTGTCAGCCTGTTACTGATTTTTATCTAGTGCTTCATATGTGCTTCCAAAAACTCCGCTTGGAAATTCCAATAAATTAGAACAATTTTTTTTTTTTTTTTTCCTGGGCAGGATATCTTCCAGGAGCTTCAAAATCTCTGCAAAATACTACTCATGATAATACTTCCACAGCATAGAATATGATCTTGGTCTGGAGCAATTATTGTCAGAGATGCAATAAAAACAAACCTTCCTCTCCTCAAGAGCCATGGCTGAATTATGCTAATACCTGTACAAACAAATGAATGAAAGAAAAATACAATGAGGATTTGAATAAGTATTTAATTGTGCAATATCAACAAGTGATAGAAAACATTCTAGATTAGCCTATGTTTCTTTAGAGTGACTCACAGTTTATTGTCTCACAGTATCCTATATGACACACTTCCAAAATACAAATTCTTCTCTACAGTTTAAATGAGCCACTAGGAACATGTTAGAGCTCCTCAGAAATATCTGAGGCTTAAGAACTGCCCCAAACCGACCTGTGAATTCATGAACAGTAAAAACCATCTGATTTCTATGTCAGTGTGCAAAAACCCCAGCTGGTAACCACAGCCTTGAAGAGATTTTGCAGCTGCAGTGACACAAGAGATTGTTGTCACTTTGTGAACACCCAGTCTTACACTCCAGGTGTGCATCCCATTCCTGGTGCTTCTTATGGACAGGATTTCATCCCATAAATCAGCCAGACAGGTCAGTCCTTTCCTGGCCACTGTGAAAGCAAAGGGCAACCAGAAGTCCGAGGCTTTGCCAGCAGGGAACACGATGTAGTTTTGCCATTAACCTTGGCACGTACCTGAATAGGGATGTGCCAAACTTGGACACTTTGCTGTAGAATTTTCAGGATTAGAGCAATTGCTTTGACAGCTGGCAATTGAAGTTTGACAATTGGTGTTGACATTAAAAGTTTCCATGTACAGAGATGCCCGGTGCCATACTCTGACAGTGGTCAGATGTCCCATAATGGATAATAATAGATATATAATAGGCAGTGATAGATATGTAATAGAAAAATAACTTGCCAGGAAGAAAGGCTAGTGGAAAAATAAAGCCAAATCCAATTAAAGTGTCTGCTCAGGTAAATGTGAGCTTTGACTGCAGGACAGAATCGGTCACTTTAGACCACTCAGGACACAAAGGCAGCACTTCACAAGAAATGTGACCTGTTAGCAGCAACATAAGCTAAACTTGGCATGTAACCAGCCAGGCCCAGCAGCAGCACAGCAGGAGATGTTCATTTCCTAATTCTTGCATTCCCCATGTGAATTCCTGTGCTGAGGAACATGGAATAACTCCGTGGAGAGCTGTTTGTCCGAGCTCTGGCAGCCCAGTGCAAGGTGTGAGATCTGAGGAAGCCTCCCAGAGCTTTGGGAAAGCTCAGCCCCTCTGACACCATGGACAAACTGTGCTCTCAGGCAGCTGGAACAATCTCTAATGAACTGAACTCAGGCAGGGACAGTGGAAAGAGGCAGAGGAATGTGTGTTTTATGGGCTTTGAGAACAGACTTTATGGATTATTTTTAAGAGAATGTTTCCTATGAAGAAGAATTTATAAAGAAAATGCTGTCCCAGTTCCTGCACTGCAATATTTGGTTTTAACTTCATTGATAGCAGATAGGGGAAAATCAATTATTACACACTAAATTGCCACAAAAACAGCACTGAAGGCCACTGTACACAACTGAATCCTACAACTCCTTCAAACACCCTTGCCAGCCTGAACTTCTTGAAAGCACTGGAAGCTATCTACAGGAGTGGGAGTAGGTTGGACAATTATACTGCTGCCAGGAAGGAAAAAACCAACCTCCTGCATTTGCTTATTGGCTGTAACACAAGACCTTCAAGCCAGAAGAGGACTTCAAACATTACAGGGCTCAATTTATCAATATAAACACAACACATCAATCTCACTAAAGGCTGTATATAAAGCCTTGCTCCTGCCAGAGCTGATGAGAGCCAGGTTGAGGATGAACAATAATATGAAGGGTCAGAGGCTCCCTTGCCAAGAAGAGCTGTTGAAGCAGAGTGTTCATAAAAGCAGGGTTTACTTTTTAAAGAAACTCTCTATCAAAGAAAAGGACAGAGGATTTTCCCAATTCACCTTGTTCCAGAACTTTATCACATGTAAATCTTCAGTCTGTGTATAACATTTTGTGCGGTGGAAAAAGGTCAGTATAGAAATACTGCTCTCTCATTCTTTATCCACACTATGAGAAAAGCACAGTTTATTATAACAGGAAATAATATTTTATTATAAAATCTGCATGTAAACAAGTAACCAATTAATTGAATAACAGTTAATGGAAGTGCAAATTAATTTCATAAAATGATATCTGTTCTGTATTTAAATATATATATAATTTGTTTTCTCCCATTCTACTGTGGTTCTACTCCCCCCTCCCCACATTTGAGTTTAAAAAGATTTATCACTGCTTGCTTTATACTAAAAAGAGCGTACGAGCCTGCGTACAAGTTTAAGTTTTGCTCTGCAAACGAGACAAGTCTATGGTGATAATTATCCTTTCTTATCTTTGCATCTCTGGTATCCACAAGACAAGAAGATAAAGAACATATGTACACAGTGGGCATGTCAAGCCTCATATTTCAAGTTAGTTCATTTACTTGCACACACTGAAACTTAAACCATTTATCAATGGAGCGCTGTAGTGTAACTTCCAGACTTGCTTGAGCACCTTAAGGCATGAACGAGAGTCTCAGTGGAGAAGTCCTGGCTGTTCCCAGCACGAGGATCCTCGGCACACTTGTGAGGAGCCAGGGGCTTGTTCATCACCCGCCCCTGCTGAAAGCTCCTATAGCACAGACAAGTCATGGCAAGACTTTGATTTTGCTTTGAAAGCCATCTTCTTGTTGTTCTTTGCCACAATTCTGCCAAGGAATCTCTTGGCCTTTTTGCTGATGCTCTCCCTCCTCTTGGTGTTGGCCATCCTGCGGGCGTTGTCCTCCTTGCTGTCCTTGCGCAGCCGGATCTGCCGCACGATGCCCTCGAACAGATCCTTCACATTGTGGTGCAGAGCAGCTGAGGTCTCGATGAACTTGCAGTCAAACACCACAGCACAGGCCCTGCCCTCTGCACAGAGAGACAAAAAGGAAGATGAGTGGAGATGGACGTTTTCTCTTCACATATTGTCAGAAAAACACAACAAAAACTGGCCCTAAGTAAGGGAAGAGCCCTCAGTGCCATGAAAGAGCTTTACTGCAAAATAGGAAAACCCAAATTTGCTCTCATGGTTTTGCTCCCTTACTCTTCTTGGTTTTGTTGTGTGCTATGGTCAGAAATCTCATTTGATCAATGGAACTGAATAGATGGCAGCAGTGGTCCTTCAGCCAGGCTGCCCCTGAGCTGTTTGAGAGCTGAAGCTGGTTTAGGAGAGGCTCTTGGAAACATGTTTGCAGTTTGATAAGGAGCACTTTGAGTGCCCTGGTTTTGCATTTAACTGACTTTTGGTAAAGACCCACTACAGTGAGATAAAAAAAGAAATGGAGTTTATTCTGGGAGCTGTTGAGCAATTCTGCACCTCTGCCTTGCTGTAACAAGTGAGTTTTCCACACCAATAGAAGTGGAGCTGATACAGGCCACAAGGTCAAGTCATTGAACACACATCAGTAGAGGTCACAAAGTTGTGTACCACTGAATCTGACCAGGGCTGAATTTGAAATACAAGATGTTCATTGTTCTGGACATAAGCACTTAACCCTGGAACATATCTGCAGCACAAATTTCCACAGTCAGCTGAAGTAAATAATGGCAGAGTTGTAAACCTGAGGAAAGTACAGATGCCAGAACTAGGACAGCTCAACCATGCCCTGCTCCAGCCTGAAAAAGTAATCTCCTGATAAACTCCAGTAATTCGCTGTGCAGGAATTTAACACTCGGAGCATGGGAAGCCAGATAGGGAGAGATGGTTCATCATCAAGGCACCAATGTTTCAGAGTATTCTTTCCAGTGCAAGGCAAAAAAAAACACCCCAAAACAAAACAAAATCCAGCCAAAGAAAAAGCCTCAGACAGTGTTTAAATAAGCAGAATCGATACTGTGGTGTTGGCACTGGTTCCTGTGCTCTAGGCACCCAAATTCCAGCTGGAATTGGCTGAGAGGATTCTCACTGATCACAGCTGAGAAGATACACAAGAAGACTTTTGAATTGTGTGAGCCTGGTCCCACCAGCTCAGCTCAAATGTGGAGTCACCTCCAGCAGAAAGGGCTGCACAGGCTCTGTGACATGCCACTGTGTCCCTAAAGAGCACAGCTCAGACTGTCACATCCCAAGCCTGGCAAGAGCTGCTGCACATGTACCACACAATTAAAGCCTGGTTTTATTAGTCCTGCTCTAAAACTGCAGCTCTAATGCATCTTGCTCTCACACTGCAGCTCAGAGCTCTCCACAGCCACACATTTCCCCCACAGCCATCCCCAGTGTTTTCTGTGGTACCAAGCCCTTCAGCACAAACCAGCTGGCTCCACTACCCCAGTGAGTCTCAAATCACGCATTTTTCTTCATCAAACCCAGGCCATTCCCACTGGCTCTGATCCTGCACAGCCTTTGCTACTACTTTAGTCAGCACTTGTGAAATTCAGTGGCTCTTACCATCAACTGAGACCTCCCGGGACCTGACCAGGTCACTTTTATTTCCCACAAGGATAATAGGGATGTCCTCTGTCTGCCTTGCTCTTCTCAGCTGGATTCTTAGCTCAGAAGCCTTTTCAAAACTAACTTTGTCTGTCACTGAGTATACAATAATATAGGCATCTCCCATCTTCATGCAGTGGTTCTGGAGCCATTGACTGTCATCCTGAAACAACAGACAAGAAATAGATTTATTGTGCTATATTATATATATTTTATATATATATAAGATATATTGTGCTATATTATATATATTTTATATATAAAATCTATTCAACACTGAGTGATGATTTATTACCCTAAGCACCTTCAAGATTTTTTTTTCTTAGCTTTATTATTAAAAAAGTCAGTAAAAAAAAGTAAGCCAATCTCCCCAAAATTTCAAAGATTTTGTTATTTAAAATACCAAACAAAAGAAATTACTCTTGTTTCCAGAAATAATATCAGGATTGATAATCTCGATTTTTACAGTAATTCCCTGAGCTGTTCATGACAGATACTGATTATTCAAAGCATTAAGAGAATGCTCAGCTCTATTCAGGGTTTTAAACTGCCTGCCTAGCTACAAGAAATTAATTGCAGAGAGAAAAAAGGCAGTATGAGCTCTAATTTTTTAATGTCACTTATCTGATTGAGCAAATAGGTATAGTTGTTCCATTTCTACTTTTTGATTTTTTAAATTTTTTTTAATAGAACTACAGACCAAGCCATAAAGCAAAAGCATAAGAAAGAGCTGTAGGTACCTGCTCCCATATATCAAACACCACGAGAGACGCTTCTTCTCCATCAACTATAATTGATCTGTCGTATGTATTTCCTATAGAAAATTGAAATAAATAAATAAATGAATAAAATTCAGCAGAAGAAGTTATTGTGCTCCGTCCCTGCCGGTGGCCCGGGAGGGGATGGCAGGGAAGGCTCCGAGCCCGCTGTGCCCTCACCGGCCTCCTCGGCGTCCGCGCACTCCTCCACGCCGCCGAAGATGCGCGCCAGGCTGGTCTTGCCCACGCCGTGCTCGCCCAGCAGGATCACCTTGTAGAGGCCGCCGTCCGAGTCGCTGCCCGAGGAGATGACGGAGTCGGAGGAGTCGGAGGCCCAGCTCTGGCGGTGCTGCCCGCCGGGGCTGTACGAGGTGCAGCGCACCATGCCCGACAGCTCTCCGGGCGGCAGCGGCCGCAGGTCGCGCTCGTCCACGGGCATGCTGCGGCGGTGCAGGTGCTGCTGGGCCGCGAACGGCGTGCTGCCCCTCCGCTTGTCCCCGCGGTTCAGAGTCATGGGCTGCGGGCAGGGCACGGCTGTCAGCCCGGGCTGCGGGCACGGCGGGGCCCTCGGCACCCGCTGTCCCGCACTGCCCCGCAGAGCCACAGCCCCACACAGCTCCGCACAGCCCCACACAGCTCCGCACAGCCACAGACACAGCTCCGCACAGCCCCACACAGCTCCGCACAGCCACAGACACAGCTCCGCACAGCTCCACACAGCCCCGCACAGACACAGCCACAGACACAGCCCCGCACAGCCACAGACACAGCCCCGCACAGCCACAGACACAGCCCCGCACAGCCACAGACACAGCCCGGCACAGCCCCACACAGCCCCGCACAGACACAGACACAGCCCCGCACAGACACAGACACAGCCCCGCACAGTCCCAGCCCCGCACAGCCCCAACCCCAGCCCCGCAGCCGCGCTTACCTCGGGGCGCTGTGCGGAGCGAGAGCGCGTGAGGGATCGCTGAGGGATCGCTGAGGGAGCTCTGAGGGCGCGGTGAGTGAGCGCTGAGGGGAAGCGCTGAGGGGAAGCGCTGAGGGGAAGCGCTGAGGGGAAGCGCTGAGGGGAAGCGCTGAGGGGAAGCGCTGAGGGGAAGCGCTGAGGGGAAGCGCTGAGGGGAAGCGCTGAGGGGAAGCGCTGAGGGGATTCCCCGGTGGCCGCCGCGGGAGCTCCCGAGCGCTGCTGCCGCCACCGCTCCCCGCTCCGCTCTTTATGTCCCGGCGGAGGCGCGGGGCCCTCCCCGCCGTGACGCTCTCCGGGCGCTCCGCCAGCGCATCCTCGGCAGCGCCGCCGCCCCCGCGGGCTCCGCAGCGCTGAGCGGGGGCGGCGGCGGCGCGGGGAGCCCGGGGGGAGGCGGGAGCCCCCGGGGGCGGGGGGAGGCACGATCCGCTCCGCTCTCAGAGCGGGGGTTCCGCCCGTCGGGGCTGCTCTGCAAACTGGGGTTGCCTCCCGCTGCCCCCGGTGCAACACCCGCAGCATTCGCCGTGTGTGCCTCTCGTGTCCCCTCCCGGCCCGTGTGAGAGCGCATGGGGAGCTTCCCTCGGCCCTGTCGCGGCGCTGGAGCTGGGGCGAGCTCCTGGCGCGTGCGGGAGTGTCAGGGACAATCTCTGCGCTCTCTGCATCCCCCGTGCATGCCCCGTGCATCCCCCGTGCATCCCCCGTGCATCCCCCGTGCATGCCCCGTGCATCCCCCGTGCTGGCTCTGCCCAGCGCCCCGGGAGCAGCGCCCGTGCCGGGATCACTCTCTCTCACTGCCGTGCCACTGCCCCACGTGCGGGGCGAGCGGTTTGAGAGGCTCAAAAGGCTTTGAAAGGTCAAATTCTCCTCTCGCTTTCACCTGAGCAGCAAAGCGAGACAGTGCAAGCCGTATCTCACGAGTGGCACAGTCATGTGCATGTGATCGGGCCAAGAAAGCACTCAGCAGATAACTCTGCTTGTCTCCTGCATGGCTCACCCAGCGCCCTGAATACAGTTTGTGTTTACTTAGCAACCGAAACAGGTCCCACGTTGTGCGGCCAAAATAGCCCTGGCCCCTGCTCCCGAAAGATTACAGCCCCAGAAGAATGGGAAAATCCCTGGGACTCTGGACAGGGATGGCTGCCATCAAATCCCTGTCAATTTTCGGGTTTCCAAATCAGCAGCAGAAACAAGGTTAAAGAAGGCAAAAGGTGATGGAAACGAAGTTCGAGATGTAGGGAAGAAAATAAGGGAAAGAAAACTCTGTAGGATTGGGCTAAGTGGGTGAATATTCTGTTACTTTCAGGAGCCAATTTTAACTCTCCAGTCCACGCTTTTGGGCTGGTTTTGGCCGCTTCACGCTGATAAACTGCAATTGGGAGTGTTAATGTGGTAGTTAAAGATCACCAAGCGCTCGCAGCGAGTTGTCCCTGCTTGTTTCACAAAACAGCAACCAAAATAGCCTTGTCAGTTTAAATAGTCAGAGTTTGGTGGTAAAACATGCATGCTTCAGCTAACTGAACTGAGTTAGGAAGCTCTGGCTAGCATTTGGAACCATATGTTAAATAAATTATGGTTTGCATTGGAACTACACTGTGGTTGCTTTAGGTGGATAAACTGGAATCTGCCAAACTGCCTTGATCATTCTGAATTTATAAATCAGATCATATATATACATTATAATTGATCATTCTGAATTTATAGACAATTAATTATGTAAATACACTTCTAGATATGGTTGGTCTTCAGCTGACTTCCTTAAAATTTGGGTTTTTTCTGCCTAACATTGTCACCTGAAACTATTCTCAGGGAGATTTTCTGTCTTTTGCACCAGACTTTGTTGCATGCCTTTACTGTGTGTCAGGATCACACTTTAGAAGTTGACATATAAAATGGGGGTATTTTTAATTCTTTTCTGTGTGGAAAAAAAGAGAAATCTGAGAAGCAACAGAACCAAAGAGACAGCGCCACTTCTGTGCCACCAAGAGCACTCTTGGACTGGAAACACACTAAAAATGGGGATTTCATTGACACCACTCAAAGAAGCTGTATTTTATTCCAAGTCTTTTGCTGATGAGAATTATGGATATTTTAATGATGTAAATGTTAGATAGACCCTGTGCTAGCCAACAACTCTCAGGAAAGGTATATGTCAAAGTGATGAATAAAAACTTTGAGAGAACAGTGTTTCAGCAGGAAAAGGGACCAAAAATAAAATTCTACCCAGTGGAAATCATACAGAACATTCCATGACAAACACGGGGGTATTTTCCCAGCACCCAGGTCCAAGTAATGAATTTAGAGTTACAGAATAGCACCATGGTCACAGGATCCTGCTCAGGATCTGGCACTGGGTTCTTTGAGTGTCTTTTACTGGAAGGTGAGGTGGCCTTGGCTTGTGCTGGTTCCTGGAGGGATGAGCAGCACGGTGCCAGGGCTGTTCCTGCTCCCCTCTGCCCTGGGGAACACAGGGGGCATGAGCTGAGTCACCTCCTGGGATCTTAATAGGTCCAGCTATTTTGTGAAGCTGGAAGGAATTAGCTGATAATTCAGGTTAATGACTTAAGAAACATAACATATCTCTTCACATCACATGTAGTTCTGCTTGCTGGTAATTATTGCTGTGTTTTTCCTGTTTGCTGGTAATTATTGTAATTACTGTATTTTCATGTATACATTACTGTGGCACCCACTGATTTCAGTGGGGTGCATATGAGTCCTTCAAATGGTGATCTTTCTTTTCTTTGAAGGACTTTAGGATCATCTTCTCACCTGCTCTCCATTTCCACTTCTGTGTGATCATGCCTCTAACAGATACATGAACTGTAATTTATTTCTATTTAAAAGATATTTTCATGCCTTGCTTTTCTCCCCTTATTTTCTATTGTTCTAGCTTCTACTTCTCTCTAAAAAAAAAGGATTACAATTTTTTTTCAGTTTAATTTCATCTTTGCATGATTTTAATTTTCCTCATTTCATATACTTTCCACTTATAGTGCCTTTCCTTGCATTTCACTGTTGTAGTATACCCAGTTTCTTCTTTTTCTCTTATCTCTTTCCTGTTTTATTCTTTCTCTGTTTCTTTCCCCTCTCACTTTTCCTCAAGCTTTTGAGAAGTGCTGGTGTTCGTTTCTAGTGCACTCTCTCAGCCCAAGTACATTTCATCAGCTGGAAAATATAAAACATGCAGTTTGATCCTGTTTTTCCAGTTATGTATTCCTGGGGAAATAAAGCTAAAGGAATTCCTTTATTCTGTATTAGGGGCAGAGGGCATTTCATGGTCTAAATGACAAGCACAGACTGCAGGGGGTGCAGTAAACTAAGTTAACTAAACTAAACTAAACTAAACTAAACTAAACTAAACCAAGCATGTAAAACCTAACACCTAATGCCCTCCCCTTTGAATTTACAGCTTGAAAAGGAAAAATTTTGGGGTTGCATGAACTTTATGTGTTTGATCCTCATGAGTATTTGTTCAAGGTCAAATGCCATACTATAAATAGTGTCTATATTTTTTACATCAAATTAATATTATTACCAAATTCCAGTTTGTGGGGTTGCTGCTGTCTTACACCAGAACTGTTTCACCACTGATTGGGAAAAATAGGACTATTTTGATATTTTGACCAGTCCAAAGGCTGAATTAGCCATTAGTCAGCATTGTTCTTAGTGTGGCTCTACACTGAAGTTGTGGGTTTCTCTCCTCCTTACTTTTCAACTCATCTGCAGTGCTCAAGTCTAATTAATCAGCCATTATGTGGGTGAAGTTATTTCTATACAAATGGTAGAGATACCCACAAAGGTCTGTTCTTGCCAAGGAATATGAAGCATTACTCCTGCAGGAGCATGAGCCTGGCTACCTTCCAAACACCTGGACTGAGAAAGAAATAGCAGCATTTATTATTACTTTTATTACAGAACTGACACACTCGGGCCACTGGGAGAAGAGACAGAGGCAGCAGCATGAAATATGTTGGGGTTTTAACCTAAGCAAGAGAGATAGAGGTACAGGGAAATGAAAACATATTTGTCCTGGATATAGTGAAAATATGGTATCAATTTTCCCTCAGCATCACCCTTAAAATCACAGATCACTGTGAGCTGAGCAGCCCTGGGCTAACTGGTCCAGTTTGTATCAGACCTTTTTACATGAGGCATATTTATATTCCATTGTCCTGCAGGTGATGTATGGGGTAAAAGCAAGGGACTCTTTGAACTGTACAAGAAGCAGCAGAGGTGGAGCTTTCAGCTCCATGAACTCCTTTGTGGGAAGGTGATAAATGTCACATCCACACTGACCTTGCCTTTGGAGGTTGCTGAGGGAAGGCAGCACACCTCTTCAGCCAAGGGGCCGAGCTTTCCCTGATAATTACTCTTGGATTTAACGGCAGATAATATTTTTGATTGAGTGGTGGTAGCCATGAATTGAGGCTGAAAGAATAATGGGAGAAATATGAGCTTTGGAGTCAACAGAAATTGATACAGCTTAGAAAGCTCACACAGAGTGCCAAGGGGGAAATGCAAACAGAAACCAAACTAAAGCCATTGTTACAGCTACAAAAATAATAAACCTTTCATGGCTACTGTGCTTCCTCCCAGCTCTAGACCAGAAATTCTAAAGATCTCTACAAAAGAATGCAGAACTGTTTGCATTTTCAGGTAGAGAATGATAAAATAGGCACGTTTTAAGTTCATGGCTCATAATGTAAAGCTAAGGCCTGTCTTTCTTAAACTCTTGCAAAGGAGTGCAAAAAATAACCTGGGACAAGAATAACGGGAAATGTGGTTCATCTTTCAGCTGCTCTGGATTTCTCACTGCTTTGAGTAAGCTACAAAACTTCCAGTCCTAGAAAAGCCAATGACCAGCGGAACCAGGTGAATCACGGCTCTGAAAAAAAGGAGTTGCACAAGGGGCAGATCCAATTTCATTGTGCCCATGGAATTCCTCCTCTTCTTTACCACAGGCTGTTAGTAAACTACTAATATATGTTGGGGGATACTTTGGGAAAGCATTCTGTCTAAGTTTAACACTAAATTCCTGCTTAATTTCAGTTTTTCAGTGGCGAGTTTCCTTCTCG